AGAGAATGGAACATATCCAGGCTGCGTTTTTTTTTTTTCATGGAGAAAATGTCAACTTCCCAACATAACAGGCAAAAGTGTCTTTGAGAAAAAAAACCACTTTCACACTTCTCACTCACCCATTCGTCATTTCGGTGACGCCGAGCATCGCTCCCCTCTGTCCTGGACAAAGCCAAGTGTTGTCTCGCTTCTGTAGCAGAAGTCCAGATGTTGTCCGGTCCAGGATGTAACGCTTTACCGAGGAGCAGAATGGCGAAAAGGGGCCTCGCCTCTGTTCACTGTCCATCAAGCTACCCTCCGCAGGAATATCGCACTTCCGGTATTGTCTTCAAAGTAAAACCCCTTCTCTGCTCCTTCCCAAAAGTTAGTTAAACGCCAATAAAAAAAAGAATAAATAAACGTTAATAGAGGAGCATATACACATTAATACACTTTATTTTAATCTCCACGACCCATCATTGCATCGTGTAATTTTTAAACAAAAAAGGGCCAACACACTGAATTATGTTAATGCCATCAGAGCACCAGAGTCTTTTTATTGGACTTTAGACTTTAACTTAAGAACCCTGACAACCCTGAAAGTGATAACCTGCTAATAACCACATGTTCAATTCCACTAATTGTAGCCTATATGTCTCTGTCTCTCACATAGACTATATGTCTGACATAATGTCATAGAGGTCGAATATATATAAGGTTTAGTTCGTATTCTGGACCACAGAAGTGTAACAGTGTCTACGTGTGCATTTGTGAAAACGTTGAATGTGTTTTGGGATCATCTTAAGCAAACACTGTGGACAGGATATCAGTCATTTACCAAGACGGACAGAAATGACAAAAAGTAGTGCTTTTATTTTGAAAAACAACCGGTCCATTGTCTGTCTTCTGTGAATCCTATCTGTGGCAGTTTCACACCACCGCTGGAGCTCACAATAAAAGGTCCTAAAGCTTGGAAAGTGCAAAAGCAGTGCTGAGATTTCAGTGAAAGAAATGCTCGTTTCAACAGATGAGAGGTTTTTCTTTTAGTCTGTTGGATTGATGCAAGCTGCGTGTCCTTCATCCTCCCATTGTTTTCCCGTCATTAACTCGTGAAGCATCAGTGCAGAGTAGCCTACATGTTGATATTTGGTTTGTCTGACTTATTTATTTATTTTACCACTGGAAGCTTCTTTCAAGTTCAAGAGCATGAGGGGAGGGGTCATGGAGCAACACCAGAAATTTAACTATTAATGCGAAAGTTTAAACCAAAGAGCAAGGGATTTTTCCAGGACACATTTGATCTAAGTGCATTAAGAATCAGACTTCTCACTCGAACTCATGTTTTTTTTTAAAAGACCCCTGCAGAGATTAATGATAAAAGCTTCATCGGGGAGCTGTAGTCTAACTTATAGGCTACTTTACCTTTCCGTCCAGTGGCAGAGGCAGCAGCGATTTTTTTGTTGTTTGTTGATGTTTCCTTCAGATAATGCGTCATGATTGGAGACACCACATATATTTCCTTAAAAGGAAAACCGCTCCCCTGCATTTCCTTCTGAAAAAGGGGGAGACGAATTCCATAACAAAGCATGAAACTACACAGAAACTCATCACATTACAAACTAACATACATTGATGTCCAGCAGTCATATCAAGGACTTACAAATCTTTTGGGAATACTGCACATGTTCTGGGAATACTTGCTTTAATGTCTACATTGGATTCATCTTAATTTGCTTTACCCTGTATGTTAATGTGTGTGTGCCTTGAGTGGTTTAATACAAACATAAACCTTTAAGCTGAAATAAAGTGGACTGATTTCTAAAAAAAAAATAATGTTGCTGAGGCTTATTTCAACCTGTAGGTGCAATGTGTAATATTAAAGAGCATTGCAAGGAATAAGTAGTTAAATGCAAAATGAATGGCAAAATGCTTAATTCATGTCGACTTTATTTTAGATCACAAAAAAAAGACTTTTCTCTGAAATCAGTTGTTTAAGTCAAGTATTCGAGTCACTGTAAATGCCCAGGTCGTTGTTACACAATTCAGCCGTTATCGTTTATGTAATCTCTCATAGCTTTCTGTTGACTTTAATAATCATAAATATAAAAGCATTAGATAAAATACATTCACATATGCTGAAGGGATAACACAAAGCTGCCTCTGGAATGAGAAAAAAAAAAAAAAGATCAGCACAGTTATCGTCATTAATGCTGGGACGAGAGCAAAGCAGGAGTGGGTGGATGTGTACTCTACAGGGAGGGGGGATTTTATTTAATTATCCTTTCCTTTCCCACCTCCACAGAGAGATCGGTGGACAGGGTCAGGTACTGCAAAAAGCAGCACTGTTGGTCCTTGGAGGGAGTCTTGCTCAGGGATACTTGAGCAGGGTCGGAGGTGCTTGCTGTCACAGGGGTCATCCTTCAACAAAACTGCTGTGCAGCAAACGTTGCAAAGCTTTCATGTTCAGTGATTTAACAACAGAAACAAACAAACTGATAAAACCAAAGTAAAAGAAACCATTGAAATAATACCTCAAAAAGTAATGACTACAAGAAACTGTTGCAACAAAGTACACAAAAAGCCTAAAATAAACCCAACCCAACCATCACAACAGAAAATGATTGATCAAATCCCAAGGAAGTTGTAACTGCAACTGATTTCAGTGGATGAGGCATTAGTGCGGAACTGCAATAATAATGGGTTAATAATCAAATCAGTAAGAAAAATATCAACAGTGCCTTTAGATATTGATGCCATGTTGGTCAAGTGAATCTGTGACTGTAGAAATGCACTGCTTTCATACTTCAAGTGAATTTCAGTAGACATATTTGAAAGACTTTAACAGACCACACACAAGAGTAAACATGTTGCAGCACATTTCTACAGCTGACTTTTTTTTTCTTTTAATCTCCAAAGCATGTTTAAGTTGAATTTATATTATTTCTACTTTTTCTAAGGAAACAAATGTTTAATATTTGAAGCAGAGATAGAGTTGTCTACTGGGCATGTTTGATTTAAATCATGTGTCTAGAGTTGTAAAAGCATATTTCATAATCTCACACTGAAGAATGCCCTGAAAATGGTTTGACAAGGAATGTAAAGTATGTTAAGTCATCTGCTGTCTGCCACTGCCATCCTCATTTAAGTGTGCTACCCAGCTACACTCCCGTCTAAAGAAAAAATGAAGCATCTGAAAATGAGGATCAAGTATTATCATACTAGTTATCTCCTTGATTCTTTCCACCTCCCAGATTGTGTGCACCTCCCATGCATTAAACAACATTTGATTGCTACACAATATATAAATGATTCATCTTATTTACTACTTAGTTTTAATAATGCAAATGGTGGTAATGTCTAATGAGCCACTTCAAGGACATGTAACCCCCGTGTCCTGTAAATGCCATAGATACATGTCATCTGTAAGAGTAAGGAAGACAGAAATGTGTCACAGTTCAATGTTCATTTTTAAGAGAATAATGTTAATATTGCACCACATCTAAATCAGTATTCATGTCCAAGAGTTTGCTTCCATCTCTATCTCACACTTCCTCACTCTTTTCTGATACAGTCCCTGGTCCCTTCTAATGTGTCCCTAAAGTTAGTGAGCGCCCATTACATCTCCCACCGTTGCCACAAAATCTACCTCAGCTTGGTTTAGGCTTTCAAAGGAAAAGGCCATGTAACATGTTAGCATTGTGCACTTATTTGTTGGCTTGGCCGATTATCAACTCTATCTGATCCCAGACCAGCTGTGTAGGTAGGAGGTCCAGCCTGAGCCCCGATTGCCAGCCCCTTCTTCCCCACCTGCAAAGAGAAGGGAAAAAAAATACACTGTTAATCAGTTAATCAGAGTCATATGGAAAGAAAATGGATAAGGAAAAGAGTGTGCGTATGTAAAATCATCAGTAACAGAAAATGAATGGGGAATTTGGGTCAGAGTGTTCTGCTGTGGTGTATATGTGTGATGCAGAATGATAGATTTGTGTGATTCTGTTCTAACAAATGTTGTAGCAGTAACCTAATTCAGTAGCCAAGGTATCGTGTCCAAACTGTTGTTTTGTCAAATCTGAAGATCATAAACAGTTTCAGACTTTTTGCATATTTTATTTATTTGTTGTTTGCAAAACACAAAGAATATGAATATACAAAAGAAAATGAATATGAATTTGAAAAGGCTCTCTAGTGACACAGAAACCTGTAGCCAGAGCTCATACCTTGTGCTATGGCAGCCAGTTTGCTCTTCTCTTCTGGACTAAGTTGAAGCATTGTGTGAATGACCGGCAGGAGCGCTTGCCTCTCACTCCCAGACTGCAGAAAAATGAACTGCATCAAGACATTCTTCAGATACTCCAGGTTGGCCACACTCTTCTCCCTCTCCTGGTTTCGCTCCAGACGACGCACTTCACTCTTCAACAACTAAAATAAAGAACACATCAGCAAATTTAAACAACAGCACCCTGGGCCTTGGCAAATACAAACCGTTAGCTTCACATTTATATCTTTGTTCTTATCTGTACACTTCATTTCTGAAAAGTGTGGACATGATTTTTTGCCATTAGATTGGCCAAACAATAAACCTATTATAGATCTGGAAAGACAGTAAAGAAGGCCATAATAAGAAGAATGTCATGATTTAATGAACGTGTCCGTCTGTACACAGTTTGTTTAAGTACTAAGATTAAAATTAAGATTTACTTTTATTATTTCAGTTTTTACACTCTGTAAGTCATGCAACACACACACAGGCTGAAACAGACACACATACACAAACAGGATCTTATGAACATGCACTAATGGAGAGATGTCTCCGGTTCCCAACCCAGGTCCCTGCAGACTGAGCTACTGCCGCCCTCTACTACATGCAAAGTGGTTTTTAAAAACCTTTCTTTTAAAATGAATCTGCAATGTTAAGGTGGAATCTTCTTTGTAATAAGACAAGAACAAGAAACTCGCTGTGAGGCATGAGCCTACGATTATACATGCGGAAATCAATTTTGGTCCCTGCTACTTGCCGTAGCACAATATCTTACGTCCGGCATAACAAGTATGGCGGCCGCCTCTATGCCCTCGTAGTTGAGTAGTAACTCAAGATAACACGTTTTGATAACGAACTGTGCATAATTGGGTTCATTGGTCAATTCGGGGTGTGGAAAATAAAGGTATTTATTTTTCGGAAATGGGTTTCGAGCGGCTTCTTCGCGGCGCGCTGACGTGTTACTCTACACATTGTGGACTCCTTCACGCGCAGCAACACGTCAGAGTGCTTCGTGTTTGGATGTCTACCGGGGCTTTTCCGAGCGTGTCCAACGTGGTGAACCGGCTAACTTGTGTATCAGGACTGCTCGGTAGGAGTCGCACTGGACTCGCTCACAGACAGCTCTGCTCCTCCGTCCAGCCCTCCAGAGATGTCACCCTGTTCGAGCACGACAGGACCAGCTTCTTCCGGCTCCTCTCGGTCTTCTGTGGCGGACAGTTTCTCTTCTGGACATACCTGGGCCACTTCGCATACACTGGGCTCAGAGACACAGGAGGCTCTGCGGAGAAAGACGTCACTAAGGCTGCCTCCACCTCCTCCACCACCACCACAACCGGGCTGGCTGGGATGTGGAGTTTTGAGATGAACCTGGGGTCCAACACCTGGAGGTACGGCTTCACGGTGGGGTGCCTTGCAATTGGAGCTGGAATAGTCGGGCTCGGGGTCGTGTTTTGCCGGCGCTCTGTCAACCAGGTGATTTTACACCAAGGCGGGAAAATGGTGACAGTGACCACACAGTCACCTTTGGGTGCAGGACGAGGCCGCAGACTAACAGTCCCGCTGTCACAGGTGGCCTGCCATGCTCACAGACAGGAGTCCCCCTCATTCATCCCCCTCAGGGTCAAAGGACACAAGTTCTACTTTCTTCTGGACAAAGAGGGGACTGTGAACAATGCAAGGCTGTTTGACATCACTGTTGGGGCTTACCGGCCAGTTTAAATTGTGGTTAGCACACTTGGACCAAAAATGTCTGAGGCAAAATTCAGCTTTGGTCCACAGATGTGACTTTACATGTCTGCCACACCATTACTTCACTTTTTGCTTGATTGTATTTCTCCATTTTAATAAAATGAAAGATCAAAAGTGCAGGCTTTATATTACTTAGTGCCGAGTAAACACAAAAATGCTGTTGACACTGTAAAGAAAATGAATATATTTTTGAATATTTCTTTTAGGTTTTCCTTCATGTGTGTGTTTACTTGTTTAATACATACAGTGATCTGCTCCATGAGAACTGCGTTGGTGGCCTCAGTTTCGTGCAGGAGGCTGTTCATATGCTCCACACTGCGAGTGGCTGTACTCAGCTTTTGATTTAGCTCTTCTTTGGTCGGCTCCACATTCCACACGAATGGCTCTGTAGCGTAAACCAAAATCAGAATTTGAGAAAGACATGGTTATAGAAACTTTTTTGTTTCCCCAGTGTGATATCAAAGTCTGAATAAAGTCAGCAGGATGAGAAACAAACTATAAATTATGATTACCATGTATGGGTTTAAAGGGTCATGCATGCCACCTGTGACACATGGATCTCATACATGCTGATTTTATAATATCAGTAACATACAATGTGCACTTCTTCTTTCAAACACACCTTGTTTTGGGTCTGGGGATGCGAGAAGATGTTCCAGAGATGGTAGAGGTGTAAGAGCAGGAGAGGGGCTCTCAGTCTCGGTTGTCTCCATGCCCTCGCCCTCCTCTCTGGCCATAGACTGGAGATCGCTGAGGGTCAAAAGAGGCAGCCCTGCCTGATTCTGATCAGTGTTTCTGCGCTGGGGGTCGGAGTTCAGGGTCTTACGGCTGGACTGGACCGACACTGAACCTGAAAAGTGTAAAGGTTTGTAAAACGTGGTAATGTCATTGTTTGTTAGATGATTAAAATCAGATTTAAAAAAAGCAAAGAGTAAGGTTAAACTTTACAACAATCCATTTTGAAATACTTTCTTAAAATCACAGACAACTTAACAACTAAAGCCAAGATTTAAACCTTGTGCTTGAAATATGAAAGTGACTTTCAGGGAATCAGTGTTACATGAGTTAAACATTTACAGTAAAAAAAAAATGTTTAATGAATAACCCACTTCATGATTGTTGTTGTGTAAACCAACCCTTCATTTATTACCTCTAAAAAAAACATTAGTCACCTATATATTCATTGAGAAAAGTGTAAAAAATTAAGGCAACAAAATGCCTTTTTTCAAATCTCAATTTTTGTCAAAGAGTTCCTCTGAACCGCTCTGCTCCCTTGAAAGAGTATGACTAATCCTCACCTAATCTGCACCCATTCTTAATTCAAGAAAAAGTTGCAATCTGGTGTGCTTCTACTTTATGACATGAGGGGGCACCAGACACACACTGGCACCAAACAGTTCAGCTGACATGGAAAAAAAAAAACAGACACCAGGGCGAGGAGAGAGGAGATGGTGAGGGCTTTTTAAGAGTTTAGAGAGTAGGTGGACAAAGAAATAGGGTGATGTATGACCCTGAAACAAAACCCAAAGAGCAGACACTAAACCAATCCTCCCACCTTCCACCTTTTCTCAAACGTGCACAAATAATGTTCTTCATTTTGCCATGAAATTTTGTTGTCTGGTGAGGGATACAAAGAAAAAACGAGGTGTCCTATTTCCCGTTCAAACCGACTACAACGTCATGCTGGAGAAGAAGTGTCTTGAGATAACATTTGTTTTGAATATAGAAATAAAGATTGATTGGTAAAGGTTAAAGTTATCTTGGAAGCTCACTTCTATTATCAGAAAGACATCGGAGCCTTTACTCTGTTTTACATATCCTTCTGTCTCCTGGCAGATGGGAATAATATGTGGACATTTGTTATCAGTGAACCCCTGATGACAGTCAACACTGTTCGAGTGGTCAAGCTGTCGTAGTGAAACAAAACTATGAGAGGAGATGAACCATTGATGAAAAAGGTTAGTACAGCATCAGCAGCAAAAGTCAATCGATAAATAAAGCTGCTGCCTCCACCAGCTGATTGTAGAAGGATGGAATAAATATGATTATTTTGTATTGTAATATCTATTTCATAGAGTCAAAAAAACAGTATACATGGGCCATCTTTATGACCCGCCCTGCCACCAGAAAAACACTAAGTTGAACCATTTTGCACGTTAACTGCTTTTAAATTAGACTGACGCGATCAAAAAGGCTCCAATCTGACTTCCTGTTATAGTTCATATTGGGCAATTGCTAGCGTGCATGCATGAGCTGCTAATGACGAGTCTCTCCAGATGCCACAGTGAGCCCCTCTGAGAGGCGGGAACATAGCTGAGGAGCCTTGCCAGCACCTGGCCGTAATGAAGTGACAGAGAAGTACACACACACACACACACTTTCCTTTCCTAGTCATTACTACTGTATGTGTATTTGCTGTTTGACTCCAGGGGGCGGCTGCGTGGGAGGTGATGAACGCGTTTCCACTGCTGCTCTTCTGATGAACAGACCACAACAGCCCACCTCCTCTGTTCTCTCTACTGTCATTTCTCTTAGACAACAACAGAGTAAATAAACGTCTTCACACTTGATACTCTGATGGATCTCTTTATATGATGCACCCTTTGAGCTTATGGCTATCTATTTCAGTAGCAGTACATGTTTTGAATCATTCTGCAGCCATCAACTTAAAATCATTTCCACACTTTGGGGTTTGTACTGCCACTTTGAAACATGATCATGTACTTATTGATTTAATTTGACTGGATCAACGTCGCCTCCATGCTTACTGTTCTGGCTCTGCAGGCTGAAGAGTTGGTCCTCAACACGGGTCAGCTGGCCCTGCAGGGTCTCCACAGTAGCCCGGTGGTCATCCTGCAGCTTCCTTAGCTGGTCCCTGTATGTCTGTCGCTGGGACTCGACCTGGGAGGAGAGGTCGGTTTGAGCCTGGGTCAAATCTGACCGGAGTCCCAGGTTCTCCGACTGCACTGTCAGAAGCCTGGAGGTCACATGAGAGTGAAAGGACATTTTGACAGAACTCATTTAGTGGAGTATTGGTATGGAAGGCACATTTCAAGGAAGTGAAAATCATTTTTCTAAAATGATTGAACAAAGAAAGTTCTACGTGATAAAGAGACAAATAGGGCATGTGAAAGAACATACTAAAAATCAGGATCAGGATAGTATAATGAGTTCTAGATGATTGTATTGGATCAAGCCGCCTCACCTCTCACGAAGCTCCGCCTCCTTGCTGATGGTCTCCTGGAGGATTTTGTTGTGTCTCTCCAGCAGAGTGTCGTGCTCAGTCTGGAGCTGCTGCAGCTCGGCTGTGCTGCTCTGGAGGCTCTGCTGGCTCTCTGCCAGCCTGGACCTCAGCTGTTCTACCTGAGAAGACAACTGCTCCCTGCCGCACACACAACGTATTCACCACATTTGCATATCACTCTTAGAGCGTTGTCTGACAAATACTACTATTCAGTGTTCAAATTGTTTCTCGTGACATCTCTTGGACTGTATTGCGCCCACCTCTGTTCATATATTTTTTTGTGTGAAAGACGATGTTGTGCAACAGCTAAAAAAAAGTGATTATTTGTCTTTTTTTAGTTAAAAAAACCAACACATTTAGCCCACTATGGACTTGAAGGCCGTCAAATTTCCGAATGTTTCCCTCAGTGTCACAATCAATGGGCTGTAGTGCAGAGCCGACTCAAAAATAATATGTCATTGCTCACTGTAGGTTTGGTTACATCCCTCAAACATCGACAGGAATTCACATTTTCGATTGACCTTTCTGATTGCCTCCCTGTATCTTCCCTTTGTCATGCACATTTGTCATACAGCTGTTGTCCTTACCTTTCTAGTTTGCCAGAGTCTCCCTCGTTCAGGGAAGTAGTTTTACTCTTCTGTTGTTTGAGCACATTGTGGACTCGCACCTTGTAACTCTCAAACTCGCCCGATGTTGCCATAAGCTCAGCCTGGACGTACATTAAACAACAATGCACACGTTAACATCCAATTCTATGCACTGTTCTGTTCACTTGGTAAATACATGTGAATTTTGAATTGTTGCAGACAAATCATTTGTTCCTTATATCCATGAATAATCAGATCTGAGTGAACCTTAGCAGTATCTCTCTCCTGCTGCAGGCTGCTGATCCTTTGCTGCATGGAGCTGCTGCTTCTTTGATGCTGTTCCAAGGCAGTCCTAAGCTGCTCCTGCAGACGGTGGCGCTCAGCCGTCAGCTCGCACACCTCGATCTTAACACGCATAACACACAAGACTTTTTCTATGTGACTTGTATTTGACTGAGAAGTTGATTTGTTTAAGTACATTTCATCAGAGGGAACTGGCTTAGAGAAGGGCTGTCTTGTGTTACCTTGCCGCTTTCTAGCTGCTGTTGGTTAGCCTCCAGCTCCCCTTTTAGAGACGCCTGCAGCATCATGAGGGAGCTTTCCTGCATGCACACAGACAGAAATACACAGACACACACACACACACAACACACAAGGTGAAAATATAAATGCATAGCCCCATATACTTAAACATGGCAAAACATGACTAACAGTTGTCAACATCTTCAAGGCCTCCCTCACAATCATGCTCACACTTGACTGCACACAACTATTTACAATCATCAGGCAAGAAAATGTTACACACAGTTCTAGGAAATCCTTTGGGACACACTTACTGAAGAACACAGACACACACAGACACACAGAACAGACCTGTGTCTTGGCATCGGCCAGGTCCTTTTTGGTCTTCACCAGCAGCTGTTTCATGTTGGAGGTCTTCTCCTCCCCTGGTCCAGCTGGGACTTCAAAGACTCTGGAGACACAAATAACCAAACGCACAGACACACAGACACACACACACACACACACAGAATTTAGGTGAAACATACTCTGTAGGCTTTATTTATGAACATTGTTTTCAGTATTGTGCGTCCTTTGCTCAGCTTGACAGGGTAGATCAACAGGAAAGGTAAAGCGTGTGGGCCCTGTGGTTACATAGCAGACAGTAATCACTGTGGCTCTGCAGGATCAAAGTTTGAAATCAGTTGATACCCACTGGAGTTCATAAACTGTGCATCAACATCTTACCTGCAGTATATATTACATTCTCGAATGTAAAAAAGAACCCTGGTCACTGTCCCCCCCCCCCACTAAAACAACTATATCAGCGATATAACATTATCTATACACACTTATCATTGAGAAACATAAGGAGTGTTGTGAGCTAATCCCAGATGAAACTTTAAAATTGTAGAAACTTCAACCCATGCAATAAACTATTTTCAAGTTTTGAATTTCCTTTGGGATCAATAAAGTATCTATCTATCTATAGAGCAGGTTTACATGCAAATCATATACCTACCAACTTCCTGTTTAAGCGTGTCCTCCTTCTGGGTCAGTGTGTTTATCTGGGCCTTTAACTCTTCCACACGTTCATCTTTATGAAGGAGGTTGGTATTGAGTTCCTTCACCAGCCGTTCGTAGTCGGCCATCTCCATGTCCAGCAGAGAG